CAAGGCACCAGACCATTGCATTTGTACGCTATTTGTACACAGAAGCTAAAACTAAATGTCAAGAACAAGTAGATTCATTCTTAGTTCAGTGGTAAAAGCTAAATAATTGGTTATCTCCAAAAAAAATTGCAGTGAGATGAGATTTTCTGAGCCTTGTTAATGAATCGAGGCTGATCTCATGATGATGATTTTGATTATAAAATGTAGGTTAGTTTATAGTGATTGACAGTGAGTAAAGTCTGTAATGCAATTACTTTTAAATATTTGTTTATTTGGTCCTCACAAGAGGCCTGAGCGGGATGGAGGAAACAGACACAGAGGCTACCGCTGTGGCTCTCTGAGGCAGCAGTGACAACACACCGATGCCCAAACTCCTCTCTTTCATCAGCTGACCTTGATGTGAGGCTATGTTCCATTAAGAGGCTAAAAGTAAATTGGTCTAAAACAATGCTAGTACTGAAACAATTTAGAGCCACATTCTGGTTTTGCTCTAAATCCGCAGATATCAAGGCCAAAGTGATTCAAAAGCATTATGTGTAATTTTCAATTATGACTGTATTAATTTGAATCTGCCTAAATATAAAACAACATAGCTGCACATATTTTATTATGCTGCTAAAAGATAAATAAGCCATTTTCTTTAAAAAATGAATTTCTATTAGTACATTATTTATTTTTAGAGAGAAAGGAAGGGAGAGAGATTGAAAAACATCAATGGGCTGCTTCATACAGGCTTGTTATCTAGGGTTGAGTCTGCAAGCTGGGCATGGATCCTAAATAAATCAGCAACCTTTGTGTGCAAGAAATAGTGCACAACTTACTGAGCAACACTGGCCAGAGAAGCCTTTTCCTTGTCCTACTCACACTCATATGGGGTGATAGGAGTATCATTTTTTTTTTTTTTTTTTTTTTTTTTTGCAGATGATATAGGTTTTGTGTAGCTGAAAGGACTGGTTATTTTACTTCATGTGTTTATTTTAATGAAACTGTGGTGGAATTACTGTCTTTATGCATATGTCTGTGGTCAGCAAATTGCAGCTCGTGAGCCACATGTGACTCTTTGGCCCCTTGAGTGTGGCTCTTCCACAAAATACCACTGCCTTGGCCAGTCTATTTTAAAAAAGTGGCATTAGAAGAAGTTTAAAAACTTTGGCTCTCGAAAGAAATTTCAATCGTTGTACTGTTGATATTTGGCTCTGTTGACTAATGAGTTTGCCTACCACTGGCATATGTATTCAGAATTCAGAGTTGATCTCTAAATGTATATTTGCCATCCTTAAAATGCTAATATTTCACAGGAAAAAAAAATCTCCTTAATCTACTATGAAAACCAGGTAATGAAGATAAATCAACAAATGCTATTGTTAGTCACTAGAAAAGGAAAATTAATATCAGAAACTCTACCTGAAAAAACATCTAAGAATAGACAGCAAAGATTCTTCAAGCACAGACCTTATAAAAATATTGTGTTATTTTTTTGATAAATAACAAAGGAAATACCTCCATTCTTGAAGTAAATGACTGTGGCACTTCAATACCATTGTGTTCACTCCAACTTGATAGTACTTTAATAATGAACATACTGTATTTTTTTAAATGTATTTTCTTCAAGTGTACCTCTCTCTAAAATGAATGACTGGGCCTTGACCGGTTTGGCTCAGTGGGTAGAACGTCAGCCTGCGGACTGAAGGGTCCCAGGTTCAATTCCCGTCAAGGGCATGTATGTACCTTAGTTGCAGGCACATCATCAGTAGGGGATGTGCAAGAGGCACCTGATCAATGTTTCTCTCCCATCAATGTTTCCACTCTCTATCCCTCTCCCTTCCTCTCTATAAAAAATAAAACATATTTTAAAAATAAATAAAATGAATGACTGGGAGTATTTTAAACCATATTAAGACTCATCAAGTTGTACTGAACAAGCTGTGCAGAGGTTCTCCAGGGGATTTTACAACGATGGTGCTCTAGTCATGATGAGCAGAGCACCGTCATTACATGATCATGTAAGGGAGGTTTCTGAAAAGGGTCATAGGTGTACTTGATGACCAAATCCCTCACCCCTGGCATGATTTAATTATTTCCTGTCAGCGTTCAGGATTAGTAATGACCATCTCAATACCTGTCTAATAAAAAAAAAAAGTGAATAAATCAGATGTTTTGTCCTTTAATTTTTGTTGGTGTCTATTCAAAAGGTATGGATAGCACACAAATGAACAGGTAATATGGCTTTTGCTTACCTCTCTCGCTTTTCATTGGCCACTCCTTCAGAACACCCTGGTTCCCTGTCCTCAATTAATCCAAGGCACAAGCTCCTCCTAGCTCTCGGCCTTTAGACCCATAGCTCCCTCTGCCCACAGTAAACACCCCCAGTTTCACTCTTGGATTTTCTTATGACATGTTAGAGGCCTGGTGCATGAAAATCCATCCAATAGAGGGGAGGTCCATCAGCTCTACCTGCCCCCTATCACAGTCCAGGAGCCCTCAGGGGTGGGAGGCAACCCGGCGATCAGGGGAAGGTGATCACACCTCTGCTTCTGCCACTGTGGACAGCGCAAGCCTCAGCTGGCCCTGGTTACCTGAACCTTGGGTGGCCCTGGGTGGCTAGGCAGCTGCCATTGGTGGTTTGCCTGTGCCTCAGGCCAGCCCTGGGTGGCTGGAGGGCTGAGGGGACTGGGGGACTCCAAAGGCAGGCACCCCAGCGGGGCTGAGGGGACTGGGTGCCACCATCTTCTGGCTGTGGGCACCTCCATCTTTGAAGGAATGACAGTCAATTAGCATATTCCCTCTTTATTATATAGGATACTTTCATAGTGGTGCATTTCATTTAGAATAGTTGCAGCAAGTAATTTTTCCAACTCTTCATTTAATGTTTTTATTTTCTACTGCACTATAAGCAACATGAGTAGGGGATTTGCTTATTTGTCATTGTACTCTTACACTCTTCACAGTGCTTAACCCCTAGTAATTCAGTAAATATTTTTGGTTAATGGTATATAATAATTCTTCTCTAGTCTCTTCATTCATTTATGCACAGCCCTTCTCCAGATTCCTGAACCTTAGTAGATGCAGAAAAGACCCCAGTACTGAGTCATTGCTCATGTTTACATGTTTTACAATGACTAGTGGAGGGACACTATGTGTGTGTAGACACTGTGTTTAATCTTTAATTTAAAAGTAGAATATTTTGTAAAATAAATTGAGAATTGTCCAGGTGTGATTGTAAAAAATTCAATCCTAAGTGAAAGGTTTCTTCAATGAGAACATACTTAAGACCTAGGGAATATTTATCATGGATAAAGTGTTTTGGAGCTATGCCTTGTAAAGATGTTTTGACTGGTATTGGGATTAATCAGATGCAGAATTCTTGACTTCCCTCTGCATATATACATTATAGATGCATATAGCTAGCCAATTGTAAACTACTTTTATAGGGAACTTAGAAATTGCATCATGCAGGAAATTATTTCTTAGAGTATAAATATATGTTTGCTTATTCAGGGCTATAGTTTGGAGTGTTTGGTGTCATTAAAAAATTCTTGCAATACTTGAATTAGTTTTTCTTCTTCTGTTCATCCTGTTGGCTACTGAAGTATATTTCTGAAGAGATTTCTGATATTTAAATAATAAGAAGTGAGAAGCAATATAATTTCACTTAATACTTTATTTTTATTTCTATTATTTTTCAACAGCTTAAGTTTATCACTCTGAAAGCTGCAGTATACTGGGCTATCTGAATAAAACTCAAGATCCAGGTAAGATATCGCCATACAGTCTTCACCAAATAAATACGAAATGCTGGTTAAAACTATACTTAGAAAGTACAGTTTGTCAAAAGATACAATTTTTGAAATGGCAGGCTTAAATTCTTCATCTATGGAATCCATCTATTCTGGAAATATGCTCTAGATGTAAACTTTTTAAATTGATAAGTGCTCAGGAAGAAATGTATTATTCCTTAAAAAAGGTCTAAATAAAAGCTATTGTTTTGAATAATATATTTTCTGTAGTGACATTATAAATTATACATCTTTGCAAGCTTGCACTTATACATCTTTGTTTTATTCTTTTATAAGTAAAAAAAAAAAAAATGGTATTCCACCCCAAAATGTCAATAATCTTTAAAATCAATTCTGAAAAAAAATATTTTTATGGTCCCTGTGAACTTATGACAAGGCATATATCTAGGAACAATGCTTCAAAATCTAAACTATGTTCCATTGCTTGCAGTTACCTTGGGTTTTAACTAGATGTGCAAGTTGACTTCTGACCATGGGGCATCTTCTCCATGCATGGTATGGATTGTTGAAGCCATGGCAGAGAACCAGTTCCACAGAAGCAACTTCATGGTCTTCTGAGGAAGATCCATGGCACTGTGGAACAAGAACTATAAATGAGCAATGCCACAGAGACTGGAAATGGGGCTACCAAAATACAGCCTTCAAAAATCAACTCTGAAGGTGGAAAAATCTACAAGAAAAGTTTAAATAAATAGTTTTAATAAAATAAGTTGGGTTATCAAGTTAGAGCACTGATGGATATTCAGTAGAAATGGCATGTTCTCCTTATAGATGTAACAGTTAAAATAGCTATTGATTTCAAGCTCATTAAGTAGATAATCATATAACTGTTATGTTAAAAAGCAACAACAACACGTTTTTAATATATGCCAGAATTAAGAAAACTTGGATGTCTAGAAAGGAAAACACCAAATGAAAACATTCAAACTGTAGTAATAAAATATTTGGCCTTTAATCATTTTGAATTAAAAATTATGTTTGAAAGCTCCCCTTCCCCCACCCACAGTCACACACAAACACAGCAATTTTTAAATTTTTTTTATAATGGCCAAAGAAAGGGTTTACATGGATATTTTTATTAATGGATCTCACTTTTAAATTAGTTTTTAGTATGTTGCTAATCCATCCCATTCCTCAAATCCCTTTCTGTAAATTAGTGTCCTGTAACATGAGGAGAGCTTCCTGTGACACTTTTGGGATGACCTATTCTGGGCTTAAAGTAGAACAATCTATGAAGTTCGCTCTCTCCTCCTCAGCCATCAGGAATGATAAGGGCATTTCCAGAGGCAAATGATTCTCTTCCTCTTTCTGCTCCTCCTCTTCTAGCCCCTCCTCCACCTCTTCCATTTCCTCTGCTTCCTCCTCCTCCACCACCTCCTCCTCCTCTTCCCCCTCCTCTTCATCCTGGGCCTCTGCCTCTTCATCCTCCTCCTCCTCCTCCTCACTCTCCTCTTCCTCACTCTCTTCCTCTTTCCCATCACACTCCTCCTCATCACACTCATCATCATCATACTTCTCCTCCTCCTCTTCCTCCACCAGCTGTGGGGCCGGGGAATGGTTTTCCTCTTCCTCCGGGGCAGGACTGAAGGCCAGAGAGGGATCCTGCCCAAAGCCATACAAAGCGTCCTGCAGCTCTGCGTCTTCCTCGTCGCCACTGGGAGGAGGCACGTCCTTCCCACCTTCCTGGGCCTGCTGCGCCCTCAGCGCCTCCTGCTGGCGCTCCAGCTTCTCTTGCTGCCGCATGTCCTCGTAGATCTGGTTCATGATGAACTGGGTGGTGTTGCGGGGCGCCTGCAGGCCGGGCGCCCGCCACCCGCACAGGTTGACCGGCTGTAGCAGGGGGCTCGCCTCCTCAGCCGGGCTCTTCGGGGCCGGGCGGCTGGGTTGGCGGCGCAGGCCTCGGCCCCTGCGGCCCCAGCGCTTCTTGCGGACAGGGGCCCTCGCCCAGCCGGGGTTCCAGGGCCCACGCCAGCAGAAGCAGCAGCAGAGGCAGACTGGGTGCAGCCCATACATTCGGGCCACCAGCCCAGGGCTGGGGGGCTCCCGGTACCCCATGGGAGGCGGGCACCAAGGCCCTCCTCCCCAGCACCCCCAGTTAGAGTACATGCTCCAGTAAGGGCTTTGGGGTGGCTGGAACCAAGGGCCCGGGCCGTACCGTGGCTTAGGCTGCTTCCTCTGGGGCTCCTGCTCAGACTTGGGGCCGTAGTGTTGCCGCCGCTTGTAGACAGGGGTGCCCCTGCGCCTTCGGTGGCAGGAGGACCAGGTGCGGCACGGAGCGGAGGATGCCCAGCCGCCGCCCAGGTTCAGAGGGGCCCCCCTTTTATGGAGGGTCTGGGTCATGGCTCAGGGAGCTCCGAGAGGCCTAAGTGGAAGGAAGCGTCCTAACAGCTGTCCTCAAATTGGTCCTGCAGCCTCGTCACCCAGGGTCCCTCCGCACAGCACCACGTGCCTGCCTGGCTGAGAGAGGCCTTACCCTCCAGAGGGACCCCCTTCTCCGCTCGCTCGCTCCTTCGCTCTTCCGTGGAGATCGCTCCTCCTTAACACCCGAGTGGTCTCGCCCAGGTGGGTTGGGTGGGGCTGGCGCTGTGTGGAGAGGGTGGAGGCAAAAGTGTTGATGCTCACCCCTAAGGGACAGCCCTCCCCCCCACACACACACACCACCTCCTCAGGGGTTCGAGCCGGGGAGGCAGGGGGTTCCCGTTACCTCGATGCTCCCTCTCCACCCAGGTGCGTCCCCGCCGGCGTCCAGGCCGGACTGAGGTGGCGCGGGCAACGACAGCCTTTAAATACCGGCGGGCCGCCCGCGTGCCGCCGCGTCCTCGGTTGCCCCGGGCGACAGCCAATTGGAGGCGAGGTCGTTCCTGTGCAGGAGGCTGGGTTCGGGCCAGAACCGGGTGCCCCGTGAACGTTCGCAGGGGGCTTGTGATGCAATTCTAGGGGGGGTGGGTGGTGGCTGGGTTTCTGTTGCCCCCCTCAGGAGATGCTTGAGGCAGTTTACCCTTCGTGCCAACCACCACCAGGCGTGGGCACGCAGCCCCTGGCCCGTGGGCTGGACGTGGGGTGGGAGAACTGTGTGTTCCTAAACTAATAAACGTGTATCCAACCCCTTCCGGGAGAAAGGGGGTAGGGAGAAAGTTCTCCGCGTCAGAAATGGGGGGCCCCCCCTCCTGACCTTATGGTCAGTGCCTACTCTTCCAACCACTGGGCGCCTGGGCTCCTGGTCCCTGAGCCGGGGCGGCGGGCGTTTATTGCGTGGCTTATTGTGTGCTGGGCTCACGCCCACGGTCCTCACCCCGCCTGTGGCCTGTGAGGTGTGCCTTGTCTCATCCTGGAGGTTTAGGGAACTGAGAGGTTGATTTGCCCAAGGCCCTGGGGCTAATGCACTTTAGGGTAATGTTGAAGCTTATGCTCCGTTGACTCCAGAGCCTAAATTCTTAACATAGCACGCTGTACTGCACACCCACCTTCATACCCGCCTCAAATAGGGTTCTTTACTGCACACCCACCTTCAATTGGGTTCTTACTATTAGCAAACGAGACCAGTTTGAGAAAGCACTTTGCTGATGGTAACATAGGACGTAAATGTTCGTTGATGTAATCCAGGGGCTCTTGAAAATACACCTACGGTATTTTCCGGCGTATAAGACGACCCCCTAATTTTACAGTTAAAACATAGGTTTAGGCCTATATTCGCTGTATAAGACTACCCCCCACTTCAAAGAAAAGACTTACTTTGCCGTCAAGATCTGCAGGTAATTTTTGTGCAATTTTGGTCTTTTGCCCCCCGGATTTTCGGTTGACTTTTTTTCGTTTCAAAAGTCATCTTATACGCCGGAAATAGTATGTATTTCCTTTTGTCCCGTTATTGGCCAGATAGCACATACATTGGGAGCCTTTACGGCATTACAGTTAAAGAATGGGGTAAAGAATAAGGGCCTTGCTCTGGCCTGCGTGGCTCTGTGGTTAGAGTGTTGGCCTGTGCAGGGAGGGTCGTGGGTTCCATTCCTGGTCAAGGGGCACGTACCTGGAGGAACCAATCTCTCTCTCTCCTCGCTCCTTGGGCTTTGAAATAAGTAGACATAAACTCACTCTGAATGATACAACTTTGTGAATACATGTCATCCTGAATTCTTTCAACTCCATAGAATGCACAATATCAGGAGTGAACTCTAAGGTTAACTATGGGATTTGGGCAACAACTCTGTGTCAGTGTAGGTCATCCATGGTAACAAATGTATCAGTCTAGAAGAAATGTTTATAATGGGGGAGGTGTGAATGAGTGGGGGGAGGCAGTATATAAGAAATCTCTGCACCCTGTGCTCAGTTTTGCTTGAACCTAAAACTGCTCCAAACAAACAAACAAACAAACAAACAAATAAATAAAATAAAAGGGCTGTTTAAAAGATAGAAGTGGCCGAAACCTGTTTGGCTCAGCTGTAGAGTGTCGGTCTGCGGACTGAAAGGTCCCAGGTTTGATTCCTGTCAAGGGCATGTATGTTGGTTGCGGGCACATCCCCGGTGGGGGGTGTGCAAGAGGCAGCTGGTCCATGTTTCTCTCTCATTAAGGTTTCTAGCTCTCTATCTCTCTCCCTTCCCCTCTGTAAGAAATCAATAAAATATATTTAATATAAAAGATAGAAGTGTTTCTACTTCAACTCACAAATCATTAACCTCTGTAAGCTTCCAGTTCTTTACCCAAACCATGAGTGTAGTTATAGCACCTCTTCCACAGGTGAGGACTAAATAAGATACTGTATTCACTCACTTAGTGCAGGTGCTCAGTTAGCACTCAGTAATCATGGATTAGCATCACTGTCATGTTTGAATACCTCAGGACTTTTAAAGAAGTTGACACAGGATATGTAAAGATAACCCTGTGTTGTGATGCAAAAATAGGCAAGCCACCCTTGTGTCCTTCTCTTGACACACTGTTTGGAAATTTCAAGCAAGTGCTAAGGGGCTTGACCCTGGAGAAAACTGTCCCAGAGTATATCCCCTTTGTTACTTTCCTGTGGTGAGTGAAATTGTGCAAAATGGAACACTTCCCGCTAGGAACCTGAGTCTATGTATGCTTCCATTAAATGACAAGAAGCAAATGTGGGAAGTTGAAAGTTTGCAAAGGTTATTTATGCATTCCTGGTTGAAAACGAAGAACAGTTTGGGGGGTTCCTGGATAAGAACTCTAGCCATTGCCTTGGGACTTGTAGATACCACAAGCGTCATTCAATTTTATTTGCCCTGTGGTTTGTTGAAGACAAGCCTGCTTGACTCCAAGTGCAGAGTGCTGACACGTTTAGCCTCCAATGCCCCTTTCTGGATGTAGAATCAAACATTTGACAGTTACTCTCTCCCTGCTCTGCTTAACACAAAGCAGACTGGTGATATTCCAGGTTTATTTTTCTAAGGACATGTGTCATATACAATACTAGGGGCCCAGTGCATGAATTCGTACACCTTGAAAGGAATTGTGGGCCACAAGGCTGCAATGGGCACAGGGGCAAGTCTTGTCCCATCCTCCGAGTCCCCTCCTGGACTCTCTTGCAACGGCCCCTAGTTCCCTGTCTGCTGGTAGCCCTACATGTTCCCACTGCCGCCATCCCTACATGCTGACAACTCCAGTGCTGCTCCTATCCAGTGACAGTGCAAAGCGATTGGGGCCGGCACCAGGAGCAGGTGCGAGCAGGGCCCATGCCATCAGTGGGTGTGAGCAGTGGCTCCAGTGCCAGCAGTGGGTGTGAGCTGGGCTGGCACTGGCAACAGGTGCAAATGCCCAGCAGGACCACAGCCTGGGGGGCGGGGGGGTCAAAGAATTTTCAGTAACCACCAGAGGCTTGCTCTAGATGACAACAACTGGTAACCTGCTTGGTCTGGCAGTCCTGTTCCCCTGCTCCACCATCTCACTGTGGCCGATGCCTGCCATGTTCAGCACTCTGCCACCTGCTGCCAATACCCGCCAGGTTCCATGTGCACCCCCTGATGGTCAGCACACGTCATAGTGACTGGTTGTTTGGTTGTTTGGTTGTCCTGCCATTCAGTCCATTTAAATATTAAATTATATATATATATATATATATATATATATATATATATATATATATATATATAGTTTTAATAGAGAGCTTTAGAAATTTACCATGTTGCTAGAGTGGAAATCCCATTAGTTTCTTCTTTGTTTGAAAATAGATGATTAACTGACAGGTAATTAAAGACATTATTTTTTGATCATTTGATGTGAACTTTATTCAAATAATACTAGCTTTATATACTTTTTGCATCGTGATAGATATATACTTTTTTTCATTCTTCTATTAAAAATATTAGCACATTATTGTCTCACCCCACTCTTCTCTGGTAAGAGAAGCATCAAATTATAATTTATGATTTTTAGTTTTTGAACATATTGGCGTTATAATAAAAATTCTTCATGTACTGGTTAATTATCCAAGAAAATTAATATCAGAATGCATAAAACACATCCTTCACTAATACAATTAAGGAATTTTAAAGACATATTTTAATTGAACCCTATTCTTTACACACTGCAAAATGAAATGGTCTGATTCAATATTAAAATACAACACATTTACCATGTTTTTATATATGGTATTAATTTTCTATTATTTAACAAAAAATCCCCACAATCTTAGTTCCTTAAAACAACATACATTTGTTTTCTCAGACTTTCCAAGAGTCCTGGGTCCAGGAACAGCTGCCTACCTGTATCCTTTCCTTAGGGTCTCACTAGGCTGTGATCAAGGCATCTGTCACTTTGTGTTCTCCTCCTAGGGCTCAATTTGAGAAAATCTGCTCTCAAAAGTATTTTTATTATTGGCAGAATTTATTTTCTTGTGGCTGAATAACTGAGGGTCCCGCCTCTTAGCCTTCTGTTGGCTGGAGGATGTCTTCAGGTTTAAAGGGAACAATTGAAGTTTCTAGAGGCTACCCACTGACCCTTGCCACCAGCTTCCTCAACACAGCCACTTACCCCATCAAGATAGCAAAGAGGATCTCCCTAGAGGTGTCTAGCATAATAAATGCAATCGTGCACACATGTACACATACACACACACACACACACACACACACACACGTATGTATCATAACCATGGGCTGGACATTTGGGCTGTGACATCCATCAACTTTTCCATATTCTATTGGTTAGAAGCAAGGATTAAACAAAAGAATGAACACTGAGAGACTGGAAATAATTTGAAGACAACTTGGAGTCTCTTTGCCATATATCCAGTAAAGTTAGCAACATATGGCCTTCATAGTAATTAGTTACAACTTTATTTAGCAGATTTTACATTGTTGCATTTGAAATTCTGGTAAGTACCATA